CACACGCACACTCAGTTTTGCGGAAATTATGGGCATTTTGTCAAAGACTTCTGGGGAAGTAGAAAACACATGAATCTTACTGTTCAATCACCCACTTCCCACACGCAACAATAGCTCATGGGTACCACAGATAACTTTGCCAAAGTTCTCTGCCAAAGTTGAGCACGTGAAGCTTGCAGCTCCCACTACATCGCTCTGACCAAGAAGGGTAAAAGAATAGCAAAGAAACAGCACTAACAAAGTTTAGACCCATAAATTTTGAAGGTCTAGCTACCATATTATTACCCACAACATGACTACTTTCTTAAAAATCGAAGAGAGGGTAAAGGAACAGTACCATTGCTGGATAATTGGAAAGTCCCTGTGTGTCAACCTCTGTGCTTTGTGGCAAGGTAGACTAGCAAACATGCCCAACCTTTACTCACATTCGAGAAAACACTCCCAACAAGATTGCTTGCTCCAAAATCGAAGAGGCACCGCCCTCCGAATCTCGAGAGCCAAACTCCCAACATGATTACTTTCTCAAAAATCGAAGAGACACTGCTCCCCGAATCTCGAGAGCCAGACCCCCAGCATGATTGCTTTCTCAAAAATCGATGAGGCATCGTTCTCCGAATCAATCGAAGAGGCGCTCGCTTTCTCAAAAAGCTGGGCTGCTCAGAGACCACGAGGGCCGATCTCAGAAATCGAAGAGGCACCTACTTTTCTAGCCTTGTCAGCACCTGTCACACGCACACTCAGCTTTGCAGAAATTATGGGCATTCTGTCGAAGACTTCTGGTGAAGTAGAAAGCACATGAATCTTACTGTTCAATCACCCACTTCCCATACGCAACAATAGCTCATGGGTACCATAAATAACTTTGCCAAAGTTCTCTGCCAAAGTTGAGCACGTGAAGCTTGCAGCTCCCACTACATCGCTCTGACCAAGAAGGGTAAAAGAATAGCAAAGAAACAGCACTAACAAAAGTTTAGACACATAAATTTTGAAGGTCTAGCTACCATATTATTACCCACAACTGTAAAGGAACAGTACCACTGCTGGATAATTGGAAAGTCCCTGTGTGTCAACCTCTGTGCTTCGTGGCAAGGTAGATTAGCAAACATGCCCAACCTTTACTCACATTCGAGAAAAAACTCCTCCCAATAAGATTGCTTGCTCCAAAATCGAAGAGGCACCGTCCTCCGAATCTCGAGAGCCAGACTCCCAACATGACTACTTTCTCAAAATCGAAGAGAGGGTAAAGGAACAGTACCATTGCTGGATAATTGGAAAGTCCCTGTGTGTCAACCTTTGTGCTTCGTGGCAAGGTAGGCTAGCAAACATGCCCAACCTTTACTCACATTCGAGACAACACTCCCAACAAGATTGCTTGCTCCAAAATCGAGGAGGCACCGCCCTCCGAATCTCGAGAGCCAGACTCCCAACATGATTACTTCCTCAAAAATCGAAGAGACACTGCTCTCCGAATCTCGAGAGTCATACCCCCAGCATGATTGCTTTCTCAAAAATCGAAGAGGCATCGTTCTCCGAATCTCGAGAGCCAGATACCACAGACCACTTTTTCAAAGTGCTCTGACAGAGTTAAAACATGTGAAACTGGCAGCTCCCACTACCGTGCTATGACCAAGCAGGGTAAAGGAATAGCATTACTACTTGTTGTTAGGGAGACTCCTATATATGTCGACCTTCATCCCCAACGGACAGGCAGACCTGCAAAAATGCTCAACCCTTCATCATATCTGAGAGGGCACTCCCAACGAAGCCTTTCGAAATATTCAGCTTTCTTTCCCCCCGATAATACCTCTGCAAACAAGCTATACTAGAGCAAGAATATCTCATATCATCAGGGTTAAAAGCAAGAGTATCCCATATCATGCTTTTTCCCTGTCTTTTCTTTTGGCCTTGTTTTTACCTGCAAGACAAAGAGAAAGAGAGCAATCAGTCAGCACTTGGAATCAAGCTTCCAGCCAGGAACTGACTGCCTGGAACCCCTTACCTGATTACTTACCTGGCATTGCTCTCGAGTACTCATCTTCAACATCTTATGTTTCCAGGGAAGATTCCGCATCTGCTTGAGGAACAGATAGGGCAAGTGCGAAGGATACAAGGAAGCATGTGGAGACAAGCGTAAAAGCACACGTGCCGATACATTCATTACTCTGTCAAAAGCAAAAGTATCCCATATCAGCAGGGTGGAACGTACTCTAGATTTGATGGACTTGTTTTGACCCTCAAATTCTTCAGTCGGCCTTATACTCTGGAGGAAACCAGAAAACCCTCCAGCTCAGTTCAAGAATAAGCCTGTGGAAAGTTACTTCTTCAAAAGCAAAAGTATCTCATATCATCTCTTCTCATTTTTCTTCTCTTTATCCTTCATGTTGCTGCAAGATGGGGAGAAGGTGAACAATCAGTCGGAGCTCTGATTGCTTACCTTGTCTGTCACCTCTTTCAGCAGACCCCCTAGCTCGGCGACCTGGGGGACTCCTACTACATGGTTTGTATCGCGCTTGACCAAGCCTGAAACTACAAGTAAGCTCCAAGTGAAATTGATACATTACCTTGTGCATCTCCACCAGTTAAAGATACCACCCCTGGATGGAGGAAGAGTACTTCCAGAGAAGATGCCACATCTACCTATGAGACAGATAAGGCAAGTCAAGACGACACCACACTCCGATACTTAGAAGTTTCGTGATTACGAGATCATTCTCCCACAATATTTCCTAATGTCATTCATTTGTACTAAATCATTCACTTGTACTCACTAAATGAGAGCTTGAACCTATGTACTTGTGTAAACCCTTCACAATTAATGAGAACTCTTCTATTCCGTGGACGTAGCCAATCTGGGTGAACCACGTACATCTTGTGTTTGCTTTCCTATCTCTATCCATTTATATACTTATCCACACTAATGACCGGAGCAATCTAGCGAAGATCACAAAAAGCGATCGTTTTCGCTACCTAGGATCTATCTTGCAAGAGAACGAAGAATTAGATGGAGATCTCAACCATAGAATACGAGCTGGATGGAAAGAGTGCATCCGGCGTGTTGTGTGACTGTCGTAGGCCACTGAAGCTCAAGGGAAAATTTTATAGGACGGCAATAAGGCTAGCGATGTTGTATGGCACAGAATGTTGGGTGGTGAAGCATCAACACGTACACAAAATGGGTGCAGCGGAGATGAGGATGCTTCGTGGGATGTGTGGGCACACGAGAAAGGATAAGATTGGGAATGAGGATATCCGAGGTAAAGTAGGAGTAGCCGAAATTGTAGGAAAGATGAGAGAAAATCGGCTCCGGTGATTTTGAACATGTGCAAAGAAGGCCGACTGACGCTCCGGTTCGAAGATGTGACTACGGGACAGAGGTTCAGGGCCGAAGGGGTAGAGGAAGACCTATGACAACTTTGGAAGAGACTCTAAGAAAAGATTTAGAGTACTTGGATCTAACGGAGGACATGACACAAAACCGAGCGCAATGGCGTTCTAGGATTCATATAGCCGACCACACTTAGTGGGAAAAGGCTTTGTTGTTGTTGTTGTTGTTGTAATTCCATGTCTATAAAGACGATATTGTGGAATTGGGATTTAAGCCGAGCCACAAATTGACCAACCATAATTTGAAATAGTACTTCCTATTCAGGGGGAGTCAAACGGAACCTAATACCTTCCAAGTGGAGAGGAATACCACTAGACGGTAACACTAGTGGCTTAGTAATTCCATGTTTGGCACCAAGAAATGGGAACAAATGACAAGGTAAAGGATACTAAGATCTTAAGTATGATATGAATGGCCCACAAACCAAATGCAGCCTTATAGAAGCAGGAAGAAAAAGGAAAAGTGAAGAGAACGATGTACGCCTAGATGCAGTTTCTTAGTAGGGATCCGCTCAACTGCAGGAAAAAGGGGATAGGGAATAGGACTATAGTATCCCATAAAGTCTGTACGGAGACCCTATCATCCCGTGTTTGTGATCATAACGAAGCAGGGGCTCGTGTGTGCGTGTACGTATACATGTATATATGTATATATGTATATATGTACATATGTATACGTGTATATGTAAATCCGGGTTTAGGAAAATGCATCAAAGCAACCAAAAAAGAGAGTAAAGTAATGTAATAAGAGGCATACCCAGATGATTCCAGTGGATTAAAAGGCAGCGGAAGAGGAAGACATTCTCGTCGTTTCCGTGATCTGGCTTCCCCAGCCCCAGCAAGAATTGGAATTTTCCGGAGAAAATTGGAATCAGAAGCGGGGAGGAAGCGGCGGACGCGGTTCCAGAGACGGTTGGAGTAGAGCGAGATGAGGGGTTTCAGGCCCTTGGTTTCGGTTCCATCACTCGCTGGGGCTGGACTGACCTCCATTGCCTTGAGTTCAATTCAAAGCTCTGTGTGTGTCTCTCTCTCTCTATTGTAAAATTGTAAATTGTAACTGTAATTGCTATTGTAATGGTCTACAGAGACGGATTGTGGGAACCGGGTTCGACCTGGGCAATGGGAATTGTGGGAGCCGGGCCGCACCACAATTTCCATTAAACGGGGCCTCTATTCAATCCACTATCGTTTTTACCTTCTTTTGCGGGCAACAATTAGGATAAATTACACTTTACCACCTCAAGTTTGTGGTCGATTTTAATTTCTTATAACATGTTTAAAACATTTCAATTTCATACTATTTTATTTCAATATAATACATCAGTTACATTTTTCATCCATTGAAACGGTAATAGATGACGTGGCTGCCAAGTATGTGGTCCTACTAACTTCTCTAAATAATATTGGACCACCTCGTTTGAATAATGGGTCGCTTGGTCCTGACTATCTTAAATTATGGGTCGCTTCATCACGGATGTATAAAATTTATTTTAGAAACATATATACGTGAAAAATTAGTTTATTTTCTAATTTTAGTAATTTTTTTTCTACATGGCACGCATATTAACACAATTGGAGGTGTCATTGTCCTGCATCGTAAGCATAGTGACAAACAATTTAACAGAACACTTCATATTTAATCAAGTTCACTAGGGACTAAACATTATAAATTTTTAAGTCATGGACCAAAGTTACAATTGGTTCCTAATTCCGCGGCCACTTCTCGGATTCTTGTTGTTGTTATTGTTGTTGTGAAATAAAATTTTGAATTGAAAAGAGGGCCAAATTACAAGACATGGAACATGGAGAAGAAAAGGGCTACAGGTCGACCATCTTGAAACAAACTCACTCAAAAAGTCAAGTCGCGAATTATGGGTGGCCCAACTTATCAAGAATTTCAGAGAAAATGACACATCCAGCACCTCCAACCACAAGTGAAAGAGTAAGCCTTCCTCCTGGAACCAACTGTGGCAACTTCATACCAACGGATGATGAACTTGACGAGTACCTATCGGACCAAGACATTACAGCTGGAACAATTCCGAACAGCACCAGCACTATCAACAGCAAGAAACAAAAAGAAATTTGTTAACACTAATCGTTCGTTTTATGCATCTAACTTATCTATTCTAATGCAAAAATAATAATCTGTTAACTGCAAAAGCTACATAAGATATGGCACACGCACACCTCCATAAGTTCCAGCAAAGTCCAAGGCTTTGAAGAATATTTCTGGGTCTAGCAATGACAGCACAACCGGTGGAGCCAATGTCATTAGGTATGGCAGAGACCGGCTTTGGCCACCCGGGAGTTTCAGCACTGGGTATTCAAAACCGAAGATGAACACTGATTTTTCGAAAATTCATCAATAGGTACTTTAAAGATGAATATATAGTGGTGGAGAAGAAGAAGGCACTTACAGTCGGCAAGGAAATCAGAGAGGCCCAAAACAAATCCAATGTACGACGTTGCAATAGCAAAAAGGGAGAACACCTCAACAATAGGCTGAAAAAGTAGAAAACATATAAAACAAAAGAAAGGAAAATAGAACTTCATTCTTTTAAATACCATATGTTACTTGCAAAGAAACTAAAGAATCGTTGTGATAAACATACTCCAACAACTTCATTGGTAGCTTGCAACTGTTGTAATGGATCCATGATCTTATCTGAGCTCATGTCGACATTTGTGATGGTTCCTAGAATCACAGCATTCCAGACTAGAAATAAAAGAAGTGGTATACTTGTACCTATAACAATTGCAGTCCTGCAAAATAACAACTTGATTACATACACAACATACAGTATAAACTATATATGCATGACAAAACTCTATCAGACAGCAAACTTTTATAGGCGTAATGAAAACGTGTGAGGTTCTTCAATGGAAAAGGCCATACGTTAATTATCCCGCATTGGAACATATTGCAAAGCTGTGACTGAGATTTGACTGTCATTTTCTTGATTGTCCAATGGTTTCAAGTTTCAGGTACTAATTTTTTCAGGTGCTAGGTTAGATTGGATGCTGCCACATTTAAGTACCTCTTTTCTGTTTAGGTGCTTTGATCGATGGTGGAGAGAAGGCTAAGGTCTTAATGAGTTGCAGTGTACTGAAACCTTTTTGGGCGATTTACGAGAAGCTAGGAGAGGCACCCCTTGTCTGTGGGAGACCACCCCTTATTTCTTTACATTTAGAGGGTCAATTGAGCAACTACAATTTCTGGATTTATATGGATGGGTGGACTTTGTTCAGTTATTGTATATCAGTTATTGTATATGTCCGGTGCCTGGATTTTTCGGGCTGAGGGTATTTGTGACTTTGACTATAACTATCCCATATTAGTAATATGTTTCCTGTAAAAAGAAAAAGTTATCACTATCACCTTACTTTTGACAGGTCTCCTTCAAGATCCGTGCAAAGAACAGGCACTACATTCTGGAAGAAGTAGATACAGAATGTTAAAGGGTTTAATTCAGTATCGAAGGACTGTAAGTTAGTGATGTCACCTGGTAAACAAACGACAGAACGATTATGGGTATACTCATGGGAACAGCTTGAAAGTTGGCCTTCAAAAGCTCATCCCATTGTAGGTATCCACCTGCAACTGCCTAAGATAAAAAGCTCAATGTTACACACAGAAATAACACATATCCAGAACAATAGAATTATACACAGCAATGCCTATGAGAATCGACTGATCACTTTCAGGGGAAATATTCTAATGACTAATGTGCAGAAATTTGGTGTAAAATGGGCAAGAGCAACAATCCGTAGTCTAGAGAAATTCACTTAAGTGAGGAAGAGAGAAAGAGACTTACTACAAGAGCAGCAAAAGATATGATGATTCCAGATACCAGAACCCCATTAACCGCACCAATGAAGCGTTGACTACATGTGAAGAGAAGTTTACAGTCAAATCTTAACACGTACACAGAGAGAGAGACAGAGAGAGAGAGAGACAGAGACAGAGACAGAGACAGAGACAGGGACAGAGACACAGAGAGAAAGACAGAGACAGAGACAGAGACAGAGAGACAGAGAAGTTAACAGTCAAATGTTAGCTTGATATACACAAGTATTGATTCATTCCCTAACAATTCGAGCTTTTGGAAACATAATGATCATCATTCTCGACTACTAGAGTCTAGAAACTAACGAACGATCCATTCAAAATATATATGTACAAGCATTGCATAAATTCAATTTTCTTACTAGAGTCTAGGAAAAGAACGGTTTACTTTGATGAGCTTAGTTTACAATATTAACCAACAGGTTATAAGCATCACATTAGTGTAAAGACAAACCTTCCGAAGTAGCATATGCCTCCCAACAGAACTGAAAACATGGTTGCACTTTCCCATCTGCAACCACAATGCTGCCATCAATACCTGACAAAGGTAGAATGTGCTTCGAAAATAAAATGCGATAAAACAAGACATTTGCCCAACAGATGGGCGCATAACCAATGCTCAAGATTTTGGTCCTTACAAGGGAATTCCGAGAAAATTTGTCAAAATTTCTGAAGAACGAGCTACATAGGCAACAAGAAGTGCGTAATGTATAAAAATGTATGACCAACTGCAGGTTAATGGAAGTTGTTATCAGAAACCGATAAAGAAAACTGCAAACAAAATTGTAGAATCTTAGGTTATTGTCATGATAGACCATGTTTATTTGAGAAGAAACAAAAGTTATTAAAAAGCAATGAAAAGTACTTAAAGAGAGTGATAAAGAATCCACCAGTAATAAAGAACAACTGATTACCAGAGAATTACAACCAAAAACAACAAAAACCAAGTTATCCTATAGCAGCCTTCCAACTGAAGAGAACATTAAATTCCTGAACTATGAGGAATCTGAAGCCTACAGAGACGACAAAATCCTCATCCTTTCCAAAAGCTCTTCTACCACCACCCCTTAGAGTTGTCGAGAATTCTCCTTTTCCCTCCATCCAAACAACCCACAAACAACAATCCCAAAGCAGCCTCAAAACACACTAGCCTTCTTAACTCTACCAAAAGCAACAAGACTTCCACTAAACAATGAATGGCACCCTTCTGGAAATACCAACTCACTCCAGCCTCTTTGAATAATTTTTTTCCTTTAAATAATAAAAACCAACAAATTTAGAGCTATTGGATGGTGGAGAAACAAAAAAAATAAATGCAAACTAGTAGACCATGCTTAAATAACTATCGGTACAGGTATTACATAAGAGCAAACTGAACCTATAGGCATGTACAAGAAGAAACGCCTTGTTTCGAAATAAACAAAAGAAGCACGATGCAGATTTTATCAGTAACCATTTTCACATTTATAAACTATAGGAGTGGTAAGAGTGTCACTCGGAAAGGTTCTTCAACAATAGGAGACATATCTAACCCTAATGTAGAAGCCATGGTCGAAAAGGGATGCGGCTGTGTTGAAGAGACAATTATTTCATCGGGCACTCCTTACCTTAAAACATTATCAAATTAGCTTACTTCTCTGTTGGTTCCCTTACGTATCTCTCTTGCAATTCAAGCCATATCCTTCTGTACGAAGCATAGGACGCATATCCTTCTCTCTGCAGCCCAAGCCATAACTTCAATTTTGAGGGGAACTTTCATTTTCCAAATCAGCAATTGGTTGAAATTTTGGATTAGTAATATCCTCACAAGACATCTGAAATATGATTTACCTGAAAAACTCTGCAGATTATAGCCTCCACACCTTTCAATCCGGTAGAGTTTGTTATCAATTTGCACCACTTTCAGTATCCCAAACAGAGAAGGTTAGTTCCTACATCTCAAAAACCCTTCAAAACCGCTAAACTGTTGTAATTTGACAAATTATAGAACCTGGCAAACTGATCTTTCAACACTAATTCCCCAACCCATAAGTCCCTACAAAACCACACCATATCTCCATTGCCACAAACTATTTTCAACTTTCTAGAAAGGCAACATGCTCTTGTGAAACGATATCCTTCCATGGACTTCAACTTGAGCCTTCACATCGTAAACTGGAACGTTGAGCCTTCACATCGTAAACTGGAATGATTTCCAGTACTATAAAATAAAGATAAACAGTAAACTGAAATGCTTTCCAGTGCAACTTTCAAATTTTTTTTTAACCTTTTCAGCCACCAGATTCATAAAATTTACAGCTCTAAACTTGCTGCCCAAGAAGAAAGACCTTCCTTTTATCTCAATGGGTGCAATTAGTTTGGCATGGGCATGGGCTTATCCATTGGTCCAAGTCTTCGAGGTTGTCCCAGAGAGTCATAAAAAGCATAAGGAACAAAAAATTAAATGAAAACAAGAAAATGAAAGTCATTTCTATGTTGAAATAATCGAGTATGTCTATGTCCAATGATCTATCAGTCCAAGTTGATCTTCTCCCTCCAGCTTGGACTACAGTTACCTTGGTTTTCATTTGACGGTGAATCCTGTGAAGCCGGCCTTCATTCTACTTCACATGGCTTCTTCTACGACACCAGTATGCATAAAGCCGATTCCAGCTGTTGGTTCCAGTGGCAGGATCTCAATTATTTTCTTTCAAGGGCTTGCTGAAAGAGGACAGAACCTTCAACGGATGTCCACCAAAACTTTAGACCTCTCTCTATAATAATTTTTGGGAAACGTTTGGGCTCAGTTTCCTTCTACCAACATCAAATTTACGACAGCAACATAGAAAAAAACTACAATCTTATTAAACAGATGCACCTTGCCAAGAATGACTACCTATTACAACTCTTTAGATACAAAAACTGAAAACTCTAAAGACAACAACTTATCTCACAGTTAGTCCTCGGAGGAAACTTTGGATACATTACATTTGAAAGCAAGGAAGGTAACACTGACTTGAAATAAAAAGCTTAAACGAAAATTTCTAATATGCTACTTTAATTGTTCAAACAGAAACCAGAGTATTCAGGACAAAACCAAACAAAACAAAAACCCAAAGTATGCACGTTGAGATCAGTAATTTGCTATAAAAAAAATGCTTGAAAAGTCTATCAGATATCACCCTACCAAACAATTTGAACTCCCACACTCCCCATGGTCCTCATAGCCATTGATACCTGAAATCGATCGCAGGACAAACTGTTGTGAATTTAATCTCATTCTCACAAGTAAACCGACGTAAGAAACAAAATTAAAGTGCCAAGAGGACAAAGAGCGACTAAAGAAAGCACATCAAGAATTAGAAAAATTCAGCATACGTCCTATAGTGTTGTATCAAATACATCCATAGAGAGAGTGAATATTGTACGTAATAATGCTCATGGGAAATAGTGCTTATGGTTCAGAGGTCCATTGTATAAGCTTGTGTTAAACCGAGTTAGTATGGTGAGCCTAATTAGGTCAAAAATCACTTTAGCACTTATGTATAACTGTGGTCTATCGACTCTATCCGTAAATAGCGAATGGAAAGATAGTACACATGCAACTCCCAACAAGAACAACAACGTATACAGACTCCAACTCTCAAACTAACATAAGGGCACAGTTTGTAAATTATCTCTGGTAGCACATAAATACAAGGTTTGACATCACTTTTACATAGCCTCCCTCTTGGGGAGAACCGCAACTCTCCATTCTCTCTTTATATTGCTTTTGAATAAAAAACAAAACCCTATTTCCCTTCCATCCGCTGCCACAAAAGAAACCACGCAGCCACGTTGTTCTTGAAGGAGTTCCACCTCAAAATTTTATTTTATTTTTTATTTTTTTTTTTTTTGAGAAGAAACAAACATTTTCTAAAAGAACAGAGATATACACAGAAGTGGATAAGAAATTCATCAAGAACAAAAACAAGAAAATCCCTCAAGAGGATCTGGCTACATCAACAAAACATAAACCTGAATCACTTTACTGCTGCTAACATATCCCACAGTAACTAAGAAAGAGAGTAATTTTTAAAATCATTTGAAACTGAAGCCCAGAGGGCTGCCCAGAATCTTACTCTTCCCCAAAGTACTTCTACCCCCACACCAGTATAATCCTCAAAAATTCTTTTGTTACGCTCCAACCAAATGTTCCAAAAAACTGCCAAGACCAGACAACCCCACAAAGCTGTAGCTTTCCTCCCAATTCCTAGGGCCTCAAAATTGGTGCTTAGAAGCTCAAAACAACCCTTTGGAATGACCCAACTAACTCTAACCTCCTGAAACAATTTCCACCACAATTGAATCGTGTAAGAACAATGGAGAAAAATGTGGTATACACTCTCCTCCTTAGCTTTGCACAAACTGCACCAATGGGGGGAGAAGCAAATAAAAGGGCTTCTCCTTTGAATTTGGTCACAAGTGTTGAGCTTCCCATTAGCCACAAGCCAGACAAAAACTTTGACCTTCGGAGGAACTTTTGATTTCCAAATCTGTGAAGAGGGTGGAAAATGTTGCACAATCCCATTGTTACTCAAGAAAGAGCGATAGGATTTGCACATGAACAATCCTGATACGTCCAGTTTCCACCTTCTGTTATCCGTTTTCCACCTTCAGAGATTTCTTCTATGAGTTTAATTCATTCATGTTGTGTATTACATTTATATTTTATGCAATCATGGTGTAGCTAAATTCATAGCTGGGATTTCTATGTAGCCTTGCAAACTATTCTATGTCATTAAGTTAAAGTACTCAAACTTCCAATCTGTTTTCTTGTTTCATTCACTGATTCTATTGTTTGATTTGTTTATTAATCTTAATGTTTGATCACCATTAGGCTTGCTTATGAATTTTTTATCAAGGTTATGGTACATATCATGCTTAATCTTGGTGGACATGTGAATGAATGAAGAAACTGCTATGCACACATCCTTCCATGTGATTTCTTTGGTTCTTTGAAGTTTTCTTGTATTAATGGATTTTTAATTAGAAATCTAAGTTTAAGATCACAAATAGATTGCAGATAAGGAGTACTTGATCATAACCACACATTGTATGGATGACCATAAATAAGTAAAACAAACCCCCGAGACGCAGATCAGTTAGTTGGCTATGTCTGGACTTAATATTCATGGAGTTGGTCTGTAATGGTGAAATCGAGATCCTTAGTCTCATTTTCATCGGTTCTAAATCAATCTATCATTCATATCTACATTCTCTTGTATTTTAAGTCACTTTAGTTTTCAAAACAAAACCCAAATTCAATATGTTATTTCTATTGTGTAGTTAGGGTTCACATAAAGCTAGTGATTTGTACCAGTCCATATAGATCGACACCCTTACTTGTGCCACTATAGTAACCATATATTTGCACTTGAAATGAACACAACATGAGTGTGTGACAAGTGTCTGTTTAACTATTGATGGGAAAAAGAAGAAAGAAAATCCTACTTTAGAATTGCAGACTGAGGAAAAGACAAGTGTAAAGAAAAGCAAGAAACCAAATACCAGTGATACACTGCCGGAACCCAATTCGCACATAGTGTTTACATTGACTTGGGCTATTAGCAGTCCTGTTGCAACCTGCAGTTGAAATGGAACAAATTGCGGTTAGCAACAGCCAAAGTAGCCATTTGGAGAGTAAAAACCGGGGCTAAACAGAGGGCGTTTCCAAAATAATACCATGTATAACCAACAAAGGATGCATGTAAGCGCAGAAGCCAGAAATCCAGATTCTAGTGTGACTGCAGGAATTGCAAGGATGCCGGCACCCACCTAAAATTCAAATGCAATATCTGACATACATGATAGGTGATAGTACAAGTAGAAGTAGAAGAGCGAGAGAGTACCGTTGTCCCTGCGACTAGCAAAATAGCGCTGGCTAGACTTCCTGTCGATTAGGTTACCCAAATGATAATAATTAGAAATGATGATATTGGATACTAATAATAAATGACTAGTGACGGACCGACGGTGACTGACCAGGTTCTCTCTTCAATGTGGTTTGGTTGAGGTTGGAAAAGAGACGCCGCTGCAACTCAAATTCCGCCTCCGTCTCACTCTCCTTTGAGAGGCATTTGATAACTACATTTCTTCTTTCACCTCGACTTGAGTAATCGCTCCTCCTCTTGCTCCTCCTCCTCGTCTTTGTATATGATGTCGAATAACTATGTGCAAGGGGGAGTGGACGATGACCAGAATAATGCAACGACAAACTTGACGACGGCGACGACCACCACCACGGAGGACTAACAACCCAAGAAACAGAACGACAGAAAGCTGCTGCCATTGCCCTTCTGCTCTCTATAGTTTTAGCCTTCAGGTAGAGGATGAGCAACGGCCAAGAACCAACAGCCGCCAACCAAAATAATCAAGTTGTTTTTTGTAATTTCGCTTTGGCCCTCTAACTTTCTGAAAATTACAAAAGATCCCCTAGGGCCTAGTCCGATGGATTCGACATCTTGGAACATCTTTCGCTTCAATTTCTTGGCACCGTGTCGTTAGAGAAGTCAATTTTGTAACCCATGTCATTTCTACTTTTGGTTACACTAGATCTGCTAGGAGCACCTAGCTTTTTCATTGCAGTGACTCGATTGTGAAAGAGTTTCTCTCCGTTAATATTATTTTATGTTCCATTAGCATAGCGGTATTCTATTCACTTGTAAACGAGAGGCATTTGGTTTAAATCTCATAGGTGACGAGTACCATACCAATTCATCCCTTCACCAAGTGTAAATATATCATTGTATATATAGGAAGCCTTTAAGAGAAGGGATTCCCATTTTCTTCATAAAAATGGGGATTAGTTGTAAAGTCCATTACACATCCAACTTTAACATTCTAAACTGTTTATTTTTCAAGATGCACCTCGTAGATCATCCTTACAAAATATTAACTAAATCGGAAATATCTAAGACGTCTAATTAAGTTCAAAGAAATTGACCAACACATTGTTCTATAAACTCATTCCAAGGTTAGAGAATCCTCAATGCATGCCAAAACCTATTTCTAATGCCCAAAATCTTTGTATTATGCAAGACTCAGAATCCTCAACCTATAATATTTGCAATGAACGTTTCTTTATTTCATATTGAAGAATGAAAACCATTCAACAATATGAACCATTACAGACTTCTCTTAGTAAAGGAGTCAATCACTCAATCGACCCGGAAAATTGGGAGGATGAGCCAGAAGCACTTCTCGAAGCAGGTTCCGTATACCAGTTATTTTCTTCACGTGTCAGAAAGTTCGCCTCTGCATAAGGTAACACATCCACGCAAAAATACAATCATTTCAACAATCCTTGATATACTTCAAAAGGATATTTAAAGCCTTTAAGGTTCACTCCGTTAAGCATAGTCTAAAATTATTTCGACTAGGTGATCAAAAACGTTAGGCAACCATCCATGAATTGCTTGATTTTTTTTTTTTTTCTTTTCATTTCATGGTTCCCCATGGATATCAAGCTTGGGAAGTTTTACAGCTATTACATGCACAAATAGTTCAAATGACAGCATGGGCGGCAGCATGATGAATAAACAAGCTTGGGAAGTTTTATAGCTATTACATCACAATTACTACGTTTTTTATCTTCTTTTTTCCTGCTCTGCATTTCGTCACAATTAATAAACAATCTTTTGATGAATTTCTTTAACATTAAGATTGCTAGTATCATGGCACTGAAAATAATATTGATACAGTAATGCTGTAAAAATATCAGATATAGTACATTGGACTGACCTGACAAAAATACATCCTTGTATTCATCGTCGTCATATACAAATTGGGGAGGGTCTGGAGAACCAATCCCAACAATAGTGCTTCCACTGCATTAAGAATATTGAGGAAATGGACATAATGGAAACGTAAAATGAGTTTGCACTAGAGAATATATGTTCTTCGTACAAAAGTTGACAATGTGGCATTTTTCCACAACGGCTTTCATTTTGGGCCATTTCGCGTTAAAACCCCTTTTTAGTAACACAGATGATGGGAGGAGAGATACTTATTCATACTCCGTATAGTTAAGTCTTCTCCAACACCACCATCAATAATTTTTCAACAAAAAAATAAATAATATATTCCGAGTCTCCGACCTATAATGATCACTAGGAAGTAGGAAGAGAGGAAGATCTCTTTCCAAACAATAAGAATGAGCAAAGATAGACAGAATGAAGGAAAACAAACAGAAAAGAAAAGTCATCTGATATGTGTGGCGTGCGGTCCAGTAGGTGAACAGAACTGACCGAGAAAATTTAGTCATATTGTTGGTCTAAATTCTTGGAGGCTAATATTGAGTTCATTTGAAAAATTACGAGTAGGAAACTATTGATTTCTGTGTGAAATTAGGCAACAAATTCAAAGCCTACATGCAGATATTCAAGTAACAATACTTATTATGATAATGCAGATAATTATTTCATGAGAAAACAGTCAACGCCATTTAATTGAATATGCCAATAAGAGCTATAATCAATGTACCTTCCAGACATAAAAACAGCGTCATATTGTCCACGGCTTGCGGCAAGTACTCGCTGCTTTAATCTTTTAAGAGATGGAAGAACATCAAATGCTGGAGGTTCTGCATATGTTTACATATAAAAAGTTTGCAAATGGAGTCATTTTTAGATAAAAGATGGTCCCGTAGCAGTCTGATACTTAATTGACCCAGCTGAGACTTGAGATCTACTTTCAGAAACAAGCTAGTTTCTCCAGTTCTGTTAAAAATTCAATCTAGTTCGAAGTTCTGTGCAATACATTTGAACAACCATCACATGCGGAAGATTGTTTAGACAATAATGATAACGATTCCAATGTGTACTAAAATAATTCCAGATGCAAAAACAGTTAAAATCCAGTCAAGCAAGATGCCCTAGGTGAACCTCTGGAGTCATCTACATACGAAACCCCCCAACAGGATCAATATAACCAAGATTCACCTTTATTAATCTTTTATAAGTCAGCTTTCACAATAGAAAGAACAAAAGAAAAACAATACCCAGAGTTTAAATTCCGCAGAGATCAGACAAGCAGTTTGTTCTACTCATTTATAAATCTAAGGCGGTTCCAAAACTCTCAAAACCAATCAAATGTTAAACTCCAAATAGACAAGACAATCACTGTGTCCTATTACAATTGAAGTGAAATTCTGTTCATAATTCCCATAAACAATCAAATTAAGCCCCAAAGTGTTCAGAGAAAAGTGTTTCCTATACAACTGAAGTCTAAGGCTGTTCCAGATTCCCAAATACAGTCAAATCAAAGGCACATGGTGATCCACAGAGACAGAATGCTCAAATTGGAACATTTAAGAATCCCAATTGTAATTCCACATTCAGAGAGCCTAATGAAGTAACTACTGCAAAATATGCTATTAGAAATGAAAAGCAAGTAAAAGAAGTAGCAAAACAAAGGACAAAACAGGTGTTTGGGCCATAAAATAAAAATAGGGCCTGCTATGGGGCAGTCTATTTTTATTTAAATGAAGGCGTGCTACACCGCCCACTAACTACGAAGCCCAACTTGGACTGGCCATCTAGGGCTCGAGATGACCACTTCCAAGCACGCCACGATCTCTTGAGAGCTCGGTTGACGAACATCCCAACCAACCTGATTACCTCCTTGAGGCTATGTTTTCTCTCCAATGCAGCCCGATACTAGTGAGACAGATGGACTTCTCTAGCATTATCCTGACTCTTATGGCTCAAATCTTGCTAGAGTTTTACAGCTTTCTTTACATTTCGAAGTCTATTTACTTTCTAGTTATGCAAGGTGGCTCATCAGTCCACAAGTTTCTTTAATGAACGTTTGTAATCTTGTCTCAATCATGAAACAGCTTTCTTTACATTTTGAAGTCTATTTAATTTCCAGTTATTGTAAAGTGGCTCATCAGTCCAAAAGTTTGTTTTATAAAAGTTTGTAATCTTGGATTCAATCATGAAATGATTACATTTAGTTTTCTGCTTTCATTGTCATCTTATTTTCATTTACTAGTAAACATATTTTCACACTGGATTCCAAGTGCTCGTTCACTAGAGGCATAAAAAAACACCTAACCGAACGAGCGTCCCACTCAGTGCACAATCGTTTTGGTTAAGAGGTTAGATCTAAGTGCAAATCTTATAAAACACTGCCTGTTGGCAGCCTCCAACAATGACATGCCTATTCTCTTTTTCACTCAAGCCATCCCGTGGCATTAAGACAGAAAGCAACACTAGGGGCACTAAGACTGAAGGTCCCTTAAGTTAGCGATGTATGACAGCACTCCACATCCTCACAACAATGGTTTTATTCTAACACTCCTAAAATGTAAATCTCCCTCGCGACTAAAGGGTACAGATCAGAAACTGGGAGATTTAACTTGCATGAATTTGAACACAAGATCTCTCTCCCACTCTAATCAAATGTTAAACTCTCTTAGTTCCTATTCGAAAAGCTTAATCTATTAGGACATGGGCTAATAATAGCTTTATAACAAACAAACAATGTATCTTACTATTCTTCATTAATACATACCTAAATCATTTATGCAAACATCTTGTGATATTCCATGCCTTGAGATTCTCTCCAGCAGTGTTAAAGGATCAGCCTTATTAGTTTTATCCAATTGGAGGCGCTGAAAAATAAAATAAAAAAGTTCTCTTAGAGAAGATGAGGAAATATATTGTAGATAATAATCCCGTCAAAAGTTTTAAATGTGCAATACCTTGTAAACTTCAGCTGTCGAACATGCCTGTTGGGGCTTTATAAGAACCATTGGAATGTCCAATGGTAAGGCTGGACTAATATTTTGAACAACCTGGACATCAAAAAGCAGAACTAAAATGTGAACTCTTACAGATTATGAACCATGATATGAAGCACAAACACTTCTCCAAGTATTTTATGGCAGTATCATATAATTTGAGGACACAATCTCATATATGGTACAAAATGCACCTCACGAAAGTCAAAATTGTTCTGTGCATGTTAGAGATAACTATTTCGTACACATTATGGGGGTGGAAAATCATTTGTAAACATATTTGCAGACCCGTCATGTGAAATTGTGTAGAATTAGATAATAAAAAACCGACCAAAAAATTATTCTGTAACACAGACATACCTCACCCCGACCAGTACAATAGGCTGCTCCTTGAGAGAAAAAGAAGGGAACATCTGAACCAATCTCACTCGACCATTCTTGGAGTTCCTTCTCAGTGGCAAGAAGACCACTAAACTGATTTGCTGCCCATAGTGCAGTTGCAGCATTGCTGCTTCCACCACCAAGCCCTGCTCCTGTTGGCACCTTCTTATCAAGATGAATCTGCCCCAAAATGTGTGGAACGTAAAGTTGATCAAATTCAAAGAAAACTCAAAATGTCCTAAATCAGCCAAGTACCAATCCTTACCCAAAAGAAATTGTTGCTACCTGTCTTCTTCCTGTAGAGATTAAGGGCCTTAATAATCTGCAGAAACAAAGTTCCCAATCACAATGTGCCAGCCAAGATTAATAACAAGTTGCAGGCAAAACGAAGATAAGAGTCGGTGGCTTACCAAATTTCTATCATCAAGGGGCACCCCAGACACATTGGTCGAAAGACGATCCTTAGTTTTTGAGGGTGACAAAGAGAACTTAATTACATCTCCAAGACTTATTACCTAGTTGCAGAAAAATAATCAAAATTCCAAGACACATTTGGGGAGTAAGAGATCTTTTGTATATGTTTGAGGCCAAAATATAAAAACGATGAGCGAAGTGAACTGACATGAAAGAGAGATGCCAAATCATGAAACCCATCTTCCCTTTTGCCAGTTATTCTCAAGAAAACATTTATCTGCAACAAATTCAAGTTATATTCCAACAAAAAATAAATAATCAAACAAATTGGAAAACCCAATTGCCATAAGAGATAATGCAGTTACTACCTTGCAAGGGGAGAAAAGGGTGAGCCTTGAAACCGGAGCGGCCTTCTCGTCAACCTCATCTGCCAACTTGTTTATCCTTTCATCAGGATCATACACTATCTAGTAGCAACCAAACCAAACCAAACAATTAACAAACAAGTTCAAAACATATAAAATTTAAACCATAATTATTGAGGACTTTAGATTGAAGGACAACCAACCTCTACTTGTTTTCTGGCAAATTTGGGGGTCCTTTGATTTCCAGACTTTGAGTGAGAAAAAGAGCACCTATGCGACTGTGACCTGAGCCAAGAGAGCCTGAGGCTGCTGCTACTGCCGCTATTTCCGACGAAATTGGGGGAATTTATGAGGAAGGTAGGAGGAGGGTTCTGGCAGAGCAAACGAGAGGAAGCAATGGCCATGGTCATATTTCAAGAGCAAAGGGCCTCAAATTTGAAGCTTTCAGTGTCCGGGCTTTCCTGTACCCACTACTTACCAAGGGAACGAAAAGGAATCAATTTCAGCACAGATTTTGCTACCCCTCCTTGTCCTGTCTGAAATGTCTAAGAAATAACTACTATGCATACGGGGTTTAGCAATTTTAGTAAAATAAATAAATAGTATTTTTAAGGTGCACAGCACTTGGACTTGGTGCAATGCAATATTCTAACTATAATAATTAAGTATCAAATTTGTTAAATTCGTCGAAAAAAAATCAAACTGTACTGTTGTTCGTTGTTGTTGATATGCATCTAGATTAGTTGATGAACCTATATCACATAGACGCAGTTTGATAAATTTGAACATTAGGAATAAAAATATGAAACTTACTTCAAACCCCATCACTTTTACATAAAATACAAAAACAACAAATAAAAAGCCCTTTTGTACATCAGCCAACCTCTATAAGTGTCTGTTTCTTCTTTCTAAAACTTTAGTTGTCATCTAGCAACTATGGAGCACGGTGTTAAGTTAGTGGGAGCAACTTTGGTCCAAAAACCACTCAATAAATGGGGAGTTAGAAACATTCTCCGTTCCTCATGGAAGGAGATGGGGGATATTGAAATTAAGTGGACCAAGGAAAATACCTTTCTGATTACTGTCCCAGATGATACTGTATCAGCTAAAATTATGGAGTATGTGTCTTGGGCAGTCATGAAACAGAATTTCTCTGTCAAACGATGACCCTATGAACTCGCTTTAGAGGAAGTTAATATGGAGATCGTTTCTTTTTGGGTTCAAATCAGAGGTGTTCCTCCATATATGGTTACTTTAGAAAATGTAAAAGAGATTAGCATCACAAATTGGAGAATTTGAAGACTTTAAGGATCCAGCAAAGGCAAGAGGTTTTCTGCGTGTTAGAATGGCAGTAAATATATTACAACCCTTAGCTACAGGGTGTTGGCTCCCAAGGGATAATAATCATGAGACCTAGGTCGAATTCAGATATGAGAGATTACAGGATTTTTGTTATCGTTGTGAAAGAATTGGACACTCTAATACGGGGTGTGCTTTTGAATTTGCAAGGGAGTATGGCAGGCTATGGGGACTAGACAAGAGCGGCGCCTGTCAGAGACTTTATTGATTCTCCAAGAACGCTAGTTATTATGGGGGAAAGACGATTGCTCGGGGCGTCCAAAAGGGGATTGCGAATTACAAATCAATGTAGTAGATTGACTTTGCCCAACCTATTCAGGCCAATGTAGAAACCAGGGAAAATTCTCCCCTTGTGGAATTGCCGCAACATCAGGGTAGAAATTCGAGTAGATGGCATCGAGTACAGCGCAAGCGGTGGAGTCTAGTCCATTGGAGGTACTAGAAGAATCGGAGCAGACGAAGCACTATGGAATAGAGGCAAGACTTGATCTTGTGTAGTCATATGGGGAGGACCAACATAAGAGGTTAGGTATAATCGAGGCAATTCCGGAAGTAAGTAGCAGTTCGATAGCAGCAGAAACTGCTATGGCCTACACGGGAAAGCAATGCATTCCAAGTACTAGGGGTGTTCTTTCTAGTATGGAACAAGCAGAGCAGCCATTTGCAGGGAATACACCAGTGAATGGTAGGAGCAGCTCGAAGAGGGAATTGGTTTGGAATACTAAAGAACCAGTTCACTCCCCACAGGAAAAAAAAAAACTAAAACTCAACCACCTGGTGATGTAGTTCGAGAACGGAAACAGAAGGCTGCTGAAAGATTCTGAAGCATGAATGTGGGAATACTTGGAGGCAGCCTCTATGAGCAAAAGAGATGCTCTATTGGCAAGGAAGGCTAGAAGGCAGATAGCTAAAGAAGGCAGAGAACATAGTGGCGGTGGCGGTTAACCCTTGACAGCCGCACGGTCACCATGAATTATCTATTTTGGAATTGTCATGGTCTTGGGTCAGACCCGCTAGTTCGTGCCCTATATGGGCATATAAAGAAAATCAGACCCTCTATGATTTTTCTTTCGGAAACTAAAATGAAAAATCATAGAATTGATGATGTTGAAAAAAGAATAGGTTATGCAAATGGTTTTAACGTGGATCCAGTGGGAAGAGCAGGGGGTCTTAGTCTTTGGTGGGATGATTTACTAATGGTGGAAGTTTTGGAAGCTTTTCAAAATTTTATCAATGCTAAATGTATTGTAGGGGATGGTCAAGGTGTCTTTCGATTTACGAGATTCTATGGCACTTCTTATTAGGCTGCCAAGGCCGAATTTTGGCGATCCATGCTTCAGAAATTTGGACTAGATACCATTCCATGGATTTGCAGGGGAGACTTTAATGAATACATGTGGAATCATGAAAAAATAGGCAGTGCAAAAGTTAGATCTAATCGACCAAGATATTTAGAGGATTTTATGTGTCAGACGAAACTGATGGATCTGGAGTTCAATGGTCTCCAATTCACATGGCGAGGAACAAGAAACGATCAGTTGGTAGAGAAGCTCGATTAGATAGAGTTCTTGTAAATGATGGGTGGCAAGAGTTCTAGCCTAATTCGATGGTTATCCATGGCACATCAATTGGGTCTAATCATCATCCCATATTCTTACAAACCAATCTGAGCGTGGTGAAGGGGACTTCCTTGTTCAGGTTTATGGCATTCTGGGCACAAGAACCAAGCTGCAGAGAAGTTGTGAATCAAGCATGGGCCATTCCCAATGGCGATAATATAATGGAGCAGTGGATTTCAAAAATAAACCATTGCCGTCATAACTTACAAAAATGGAGTAAAGCAACGTTCAAACAGGGCCAGTGGCAAATTCAACAATTGATGGATCAATTACAACATCTTCAACATAATGGTCATGATAATTGTCACAGTATTGAGGAGTTATCGAAATAGGTTGATCACCTATGTCGGTAGGAGGAAAGTTTTTGGATTCAAAGATCAAGAGTTAAGTGGCTTAAGGAAGGAAATGCTAATACTAAATTCTTCCATCAGACGACACTACAACATCAAAGGAGGAACATTATGGTTTCATTAAAGAATAACAATAGGGTATGGGTGGACAACCCAAGACAGGTCCTGCAGATGATTGATTCTCATTTTATTGATCTTTTCACATCTATCGGTAATCGTGACTGGGGGGACATCTTGGATTATGTTACACCAAAAGTCACAGCTGCAATGAATGATACATTACTAGCTACGGTTTCAGTGGAAGAGATTAAATGGGCAGTAACAAAAATGGGCTGTCTTACAGCTTTGGGCCCATATGGTTTCTAAGGAGTTTTTTTTTATCATTCTTATTGAGACATTATCGTGCAGGATGTGAACCAGCTAATTTGGGAACTCATTCAGGGCTCTCAACCTCCAACTCAGATCAATGAAACACATGGTATTAATTCCAAAAGTACAGGCAACAGAATCAGTTTCACAATTCCGACCCATCAGTCTTTGTAATTATTCATGCAAGGTGCTTTCAAAGGTAATGGCAAAGCGGCTCAAAGCAATTTTACCAGAATTGATCTCTCATACTCAAAATGCTTTTGTAGCTAGTAGACAAATACAAGACAATATTGGTACTTCGAAAAGCCACCCATAAATTCGAATTAGCACTCAAGTTAGATATGCATACGGCCTATGATCGGGTGGAATGAGACTTCATGTTGGCGGTGATGGAGAAGATAGGATTTGATTCACGATGGACCCGTTTGTTAATGGGTTGTATCTCTTCGGTCAATTTTGCTATTCTTCTCAATAGACAGCCATGTTCTAAGTTTGTTCCTAAGTGAGGTTTAAGGCAAGGAGATCCACTCTCGCCATACTTATATTTATTCGTCAGTGAAGTTTTTTCCCTTATGCTCCAACAGGCCAGTGATCGATAGTGGATTCAAGGTGTTCAGATGAATGTTGGTGGTTCGGTCATTTCACACATGTTCTTTGCTGATGATACTTTGATCTTCCTTACAGCTACATATGAAAATTGTAGGCGCCTCATTCAGTTAATTGATCATTACTATTTAGTGTCGGGACAACATGTTAATAAATTGAAATCCAGTGCTTTATTTAGGGGTAATGTGCCAGAGGTTTTATCACAGGATTTGTCTGCCATTTTAGGAATGGGGAAAGTTGGCGATTCGGGTCCCTATCTTGGTATGCCTGCTATATGGGGTCGATCAAAGAAATGTGGATTGACTTATGTGAAAGGTAGATTGTTGGGGAAACTTCAAAGGTGGAAGTAATCAACACTCTCACAAGTGGGAAGAGAGGTTTTGATTAAGGCGATGGAGCAAGCAATCCCAGTGTATCTGATGAATCTTTTCAAATTCCCTACTACGTTATGTCATGAATTAGATTATCTGGTTTCTCAATTTTGGTGGGGGCAAAAAGGTAGTGAGAACCGAATTCATTGGGTTTCCAAGGAGAGGTTATGCAGATCTACGTCTAACGGCGGGCTTGGTTTCCGAAACTTTGAAAAGTTTAATGATGCTCTTTTGGCAAAGCAATGTTGGAGATTGATAATTGAACCGAATACTTTATGGGCGACAATTCTTAAAGCTAGATATTATCCTAATTGTTCCTTTCTTGAAGCTAAGAGAGGTGGGAAAGCTTCCTAGCTTTGGTCCAGTTTATTGGTGGGAAGAGACATTCTGCTAAAGGGAGCTCACTGGCAAATAATGAATGGTCGCGAGGTTCGTGTTTGGATTGATCGTTGGCTCCCATCTTTCCCATCGGGTAAACTGAAACCATTGAGTAATGTGCCAATTACTCGAAATTTGCGAGTGGAGTCTCTGATTAGTCAAAACTCGGGGACTTAGGGTATTTCATTCTTGAAACCTTTTCTATCACCGAGAGACTATGATGCGATTTTAGAAACTCCCATTGGTAATCCATTGATTCGAGATCGACTAATATGGCCTTGTGAGAAAATTGGAATCTATTCAATTCGCTCAAGTTACCGTTGGACTATGGCTGGGCAACGTTCCCATAGATCTCTTTTAAGTGGAAGTCACTCAATCAGGCACTTTCTACCATGGCAAATTTATTCAAAAGACGATCCTATTCATTTCCTATGTGCCCTATTTGCAATGCTCAAGATGAGACCATTAAACATCTTCTCCTTCTGTGTATGTCGGTTGAGTTAGTATGGTTTGGGGGTGCTTTGTGTCTGCGTATCCAACGTGAGGTGGTCACTACTTGGGCCAACTGGCTTTCGGATTGCTTGCAGGGGGCTCTAGGATCGAAGTTTGACAAGCAACGCTTCTTGTCTTATATTGCTTTTACATGTTGGAATCTATGGAAAACTTGTTGCAATTTCTTTTTCAACCATCAACCCATTTATCCCTCTAAGGTAGTTTTTGAAATTTCTAATTCTATCGAAACTTTTCTGCATGCTACTCAGGTAATTGGCTCTCAAACAACTGCTTTTCTATTACTAGTGGTAACTGTCACGTGGACTCCTCCAAGCCCGGGGTTTATCAAGCTTAATGTGGATGCTAGTTGGGAAAAGTCATTGGGCTCGGGTTTTGTTGGGGTGGTTGCACAAAACAATGCTGGGGTTTTTTGGGTGCAGGTAGATATATTGTGAAGGCTCGGAGTATGGCTATGGCAGAGGCGTTGGCTGTTAAGATTGGATGTGAGCTTGGTCATCAATTGGGTTGACATTCTGTGGTTCTTGAATCTGACTCCTCTTAAACCATTTTAGCTTTGCAGGACTCGCATTCCAAGGGCACGTGGGAAGCTTTCCCTCTTCTTCAGCAATGTATTCACTTGAGAGATTCTTTCCATGTCAGTCACTGGTCTTGGATTCCAAGATCAGCTAACAAGGCTGCGCATTTTTTGGCGTCACAGCGATGTCGGGAGATGAGCAATGGGGTTTGGGTTCACAAACCTCCATCTTCCCCGGTTTCCGTGCTTCGCAATGATGGACTTCCTTGTCCACACTAGGTATCTCAGAAGGTAATGTAGGGAGTGACGTTTTAGCATCAAATGCGATGTCAGGATCCTTGTATCTCCTTGCATTGCCTGTTTGTGGTGTAGTTTCTGGCTGTTTGCCTCTTTGTAGGCTTACTTGTACTGTTTTGGCTATTTTGCCTGTAAATCTTATCTAGTTTTCAAAAAAAAAAAAAAAAAACTTTAGTTGTCATTGTCATTTAATACTATGGTTTAATGATATTTTTTCTTCAGTTGTACGTAAAAAAAAAAAAAAAAAGGCGAGAATCTTGTAAATGGCAAGTTTTATACAAATTTATTTACCCACCTTAACTTGTTGTATAACATATTAAATAAAAAAAACTTGAGATATTCCATTCAATAAAACTATGAGTTTAACCTCTATACAAAATTCCACCATCTACAGAAAGAGAATATCAACTTACTACCAATGCCGGAGCTAATAATTTTTTCACAGGTTGGGGCTAGCTAAAAGATTTAAATCTTTATAAACAAAGAAACTTTATGCTGTATTTTTCACAGTATTAGCTAGCTTACAAGGTGAGCCAAGAGTTTTCATTATTAAACAAATTTGTGCTAAAATTCCAACAAATTCAAACTTGTACATGTACAAAAAAGCGATGAGAAAAAGGATGTAAGAAAAAGAGACGGTTTGTAAATTGTATTATATAATTTTATATAATTAAATCGAGAGAATTCAAATTAGTGACTAAATATATGGTGGACTACATTCGAAAATCTAAAAAGATGCAAAATTTTATTTTTCACCGAAAGTTACCTAGGCTATAGCCCAGGGTTGTCCTTAACACGGCTCCGCCATACTTGCTACTTGTTTGTTGCCGCGGGTATTGGCAGAAGTCTCCATATTCGATTAATGTTGTTATCATACAATTGGTCGAAATTTTTTTGTTCAATTTTCCAACCAATTGTGTTATTACACTTGGTGTACAAAACCATCTTCCCGGCACACTTATAAATCTCTCCCCCACAGAAAACCCCCCTCATTGTAGAAGCTTCTCTAGGAAATAGATGAGCGAAACCATGCTTGAGGACGAGTATGTCAAATGGGGCCCAAAGAGTTCTTTCGTTAGACATGAGAAAAAACGGATGGTTGATTGTATCACCCATCACCACACCTGTAATTCTCTCATTCAGGTGGGTTGTGTGCATGATCGCCCATAACCCCTATCGACAACATATCCTCGCCATATTGACAGTATAACGATACACTATTTATATGCTATCAATACGATAAAGATACGTTGTCAATATACCATCAATACAGGTCATGCGCACAACCCACAAGGACAAGAGAGAATTTCTCGTCACCACGCTAGTGACTAGTCACAATGCCTCATAGTCGAGTTGGAGGTCGAAAATCAGACCCTTAGGCCTCTTTTGGTTTAGGCCTTAGACTCTAACCTCCTGTTGGCCAAAACACTCAGTCCAGTTTCTGTATAGCAGACTGTTAAAATTGTATTATAAAAGTAGAGTCGAGAAAAATCAAAGCTTACAATACAACGAGGCTTTCTATTCCGCAATTTGTTCCGAGATGAGCAACTATTTCATAAAACTGAACTAGTCTGAATATGTCTTCTCCTCTCAATTGACAAAATCTATTCCAATCTATTGAAGCACGGGGCAGAAACGAAAACTTGCCGACTTTCCATTTCTAGCCACGGACTCTGTCTTAATCATTTCTCTTTCTTAGCAAATGCCTCCCCTTTGCACTCACTTCCAGCAGGAACCACGAAACCTGCACCGACCTGGAAGCCAACAAAATGTAAATAATGGGATACGGTGCACTGAATGGGACAGAAGAGGAAGGGGGGCAACAAGAGAAATAAGAGATCATGCTTACTTGACAATCTTTAAGTACAACACGATCTTGGAGCTGTACGTTACTGCAAATAACTGAATTCTGGACTGAACAACCATCGCCAATGGTAACATGATTCATAACAACTGAATTCACAACCTGCGGCGCGGGAGGGGGGGGAAAGAAAAAACACGGAATTGACTATATTATCTGAGTTCTAAATCTCAGTTTTTCTATTCATTCAGGAATCAATTCATATTTCAATAAATAAAAAAGGCATTTATACTATATTTTAGCTTCCAACGTTTTATGATAAACAAATTATCTTACCTTCACGTTAGAACCTATCCGGCAGTGACGACCAATAACAGATCGTTTAACACTACATTTGTCACCCATCTGTGAACCTTCCCCAAGCATACAATGTGGTCCGACCTAAATGGAAGAAAAGGAATGACCTTAACCCAGCATAATGGCCTAAACTTTCGCAAACTGTCAGAAAAGCCCTAACATTTATTGCTGAATTGACAATCACTCGTTTTGGTTTTTAAACAATTTGACTTACAGTCGTTTTAGATCCAAGTTCTGCTGACGGATGGATGATGTTATTTTGTGCAGAGAATGAATACCCTGACAAATGGCTAGCATCTCCTATGACCTGATAGAATTTGTGAAATGTTAAAACTATCCACATAATGAATGCAGAAGAGAATTTTCACGGAAAAATGGCAAACTAAAGCTCTCAACCATGAACTCACATCTCGATTAATGTCACTAAATGCTTGAATGGAATTTAACCTCACACAGTACTTGCTGTTTCCAGCAATATAAACACAGCATTTATGGGTTCTTTGCGCAGGAGTAGAGCCATTACAACCTAGTGCATAGAGCTCATGGAAGCTTGGAGTGGATGAATTAGCCAGGATTCGAGATATCACTAGTTGGTTGCTCTGAGAACTAGCCTTCTCATTTCCATTTTCTTCTGGTTGTGGTGCACCATTTGACACTTCTGAATTCTAATGTTCAAACACAGAAATATGAATGAGTCAGATGTTTTAGAAGGGCCTGCATGTTAAAGGAATCTAGCAAGGAACTGCACTGGACTAACCAGCTGGCGACGAACAAGATAAGGTAATACATCGCGCTTTAAACTTTGAAAGGTATCCTTTTGATCCAAAACTTCTTGTAGAACAGACCTAGGAGGGAATGGAAAAATATACTGCATGTATAAAGATCGATTTGTATATGACAAACATCATTTGACAGCAAAACGGAAAGATGTATAACCTCTTGAATGCATATAAATGAGCATCCATGAGATCAGATCGAATTTCCATCTACAAGGAAAATACAAGTGTAAGAATAAACAGAAACATATAAACCTTATATCACGGTTAATGACATTTATATCCCCCTAAAAAAAGTTTACCGCCTAGATTATGCACCAAATGTTAATGTGAGGTTCTACCAACTACCATTCATTTTTCAGTTAAATTTGCCATGTTCTGTGCAGGAGACTTTCTTTTTTATGCGATTTTCTTAATTTTATTTATGTCTTCACTTTCACTTCCTCCCCTTGCTTCTCTCTTCTCTCCCTGGTTCTCTCTTCTTTCTCCGCCCATTACAAAACCACAAATCCCACCCGCCACCAACCCTCTATTCTAACCTGTTCAAACAAAATTTCCATGAGTAAAACAACAAATAAATAAAATAATCAAGTACTCAGCTCACACTGACATATAAAAGAAACCCCCAATTGAAATATAAAACATCAACACCAAAACTGACTCAACAGACACTCAGCTGGCACCAGCTAAAAGATCCCCGGAAACCCCAACAACCTATCAAAACCACCCCAGCCCACTACCAAACCCAGTGGCCATTAGCACCCAAACCCACCAAAACACCAATCCCTAAATCCAATTAACTCACGCAAGCATAAGCACAGAGAGAGGGAGAGTTTAAAAAAATGACCCAATGCCCTTAACAGAGGCCTCCTCTCCGCAGCACATTATCTTATTTACAAATTATTGTATGGAACTAGATGGAGACCAACACTTACTTGTCTCTTTTATTTTTTAATAAGAAACAAAGAATTTAATTGGACAGAGAACCCAAATTACCATACATGCATAAACAAGAGAGTACACTGAAAAAAGAAAAAGATTAGGGGGTCAATCGTCACATCCTAAAAGATCAAGAGCATTGGTATAATTTCTTCAAGCAAGAAAAATTATTAAGAATCCATGAATGTTAAAGCTGGAATGCTATCCTGAAAAGCACCTAATCAAATCCATGATTGAATTTCAAATTTAGTAGTGATCAGCACGAACTAAAACAGTAACTTTAAATTTTTATTATGATACCGTCCAAATTGAGAGAATAGTTTCAGATTTTATGTGAGGTTGTAGTTGAGTGCCAAGCATATCTCAATGAAATTCACCAGCCCAGTAGTTGTTTACTACTGGAAAGTGTCGACCAAAAGAAACAAAATAATTCAGGGGCAAACCAATTACCTGGCCAACCGCACGGAGTATGCTCTTCTGAATTCGAATATCTTTCTCAAGTTCCGCTCCTAGCAAGGACCAAAAGATAGATGAGGAATTTAAAAGATTACATGCTACAGAAAGGGAAAATTAAAAGAACTAACCTGTTGCTATGTACAGTAAAAACTGCTTTGTCGGATCCAGCCCAATGATATTGTAGTGCCCTGGTTTCTTAGCTTTGTCTTTTCCAACAGAGGATCCCGAATCCGAAGGTCCACTTACAGGAGCAGAACAAAGCATTGCAGTTAATACTGCATCATGACGTCTATGAGCAGCAGCTACAGCACCAGGAGAAACATCAGAGACAATATCGCCACTCACAACCTGCAGCAACGCAAGGAGTTGAAGGCTAATCTAGAAGAAACTTTTGAGAAGTCAAAATACTATAAAGAATATATAGATGCTAACCAAAATGTCATTTGCAGTCAAGTGGTGTGCAATGGCTCGAAGTGCACCAGCTGTTCCAACATCCTCAGGGACTGCTGCAACCTGCACTAAGCCAAATTATGCAATGCATCTCTACGTGAAATTCTTAGATAAAAGACCCATTCATGGAGTTGATTAGAAAGACTGCTCGGTATCACGTTGGCTATAAAACTATATACTAACGAGCTCAGTTTACATGCACACATGCCTAAATGAAAAGCAATGTAAATGTAAGAGATGTAAATCCAGCTTTAGAGAAATTTAGCAGTAGAAACAATTTTGGAAACACGGAATTGGACCATTTACAAGCAAGGAATGAAAATCTAATTGAGCAGTAAACAATAATGAAAAACAATGGATTTGCATCAAACCAAGGCTTTCAAAGAACAGAGAGTGGAACATATTCAACGCCATGCTTGACAACCAGAGTCATAGTCCCATGCATCATACAATCTCTTAAAAGACAAGTTTTATTACAACATAAATTAGATTAGTAGGACTAACAATAGCCCATAAGAGGCTTTCCAGGAAAAATTTATACCTCTCACACACCAAAGAGTTACATGAGGCTGGAATAACCCAGCTCAAATATGCCTCCCCAAGCAGCCCTTACCCAGCAATGCAACTGGACAGTGAAGACACGCAATCTACACACTATCTTGCAATAGCAGAATTTTGGTATTGTTATCATATGTAAAGGCAAGAAAAGGGAGAACAAAAGGCTGTTCCTCCTAACAAAAACTCCTCCCAAAACCTCACCCTTTCCTCATTTCCCACCCCAATCAAAACTGTAATAAGAGGAAAGAATTAAGACTACGAGAGATGCATTTCAGGGGCATGGACTTGAACCTGCGAGCACAAGGCTAGAATCCCACCCCTTTTAATGCACCTAATAACAGGATGCCAAAGGCAACTCCTCGCTAACTGACAACCTTCATAACCAGTCTCCAATTTATGCTTCAATTCACCAAATTTTACTAAATGGCCCTTTTTCCCCTCCACCACCACACCATCACCTCCCACAGAAAATTCCTCATCAAAAGCGACAATGTTAGGATTCCTGCACAGAGGCCAAAAACGATTGGATCCATGCCGACCTTCCCCTTCTCTATAAAACTGCCTTCCTCCAATCTTATAGCCTCCCTCTTCATATTTTCTATAATTGCATCCCAAAAGGTAATGGTCCCTGGGTTGCTCCCCAAATACTTGTGATTTCTAATTACTTACACCGATGCTATCGTTTCAATTTGTTATAAATCCAAGTGCACACGTACTGAGACTAGAGAGTACAACATTGACAAACATCATATGCATAAAGTGTCCCCCAACGCAACACATATATAAACGAACTACTAATTATATAACCACACTAGATCCTTGGAGCAGAAACAAAATAAGTAGCATGAAATTCAAAACATTAACAATCAAAACAAATATAGAAGAAATGAAAGTTGGGTAAGTACCTCAACATGTAAACGATCGACATAAGCCCCTGAAATCCAACTTCCAACGAGTACGGCTGCATCTTGCCCTTCAACAACCTAGAAAATCGACAGTTAGCCCTGTTTGGTTACTGGAGAAACGAAAAATTGGCATCACATTAAACCCAACAAAGCCAGGGCAAGTGTAAACAAGAAAACCCTTTACTCATGAGCAACCATTCACCAAGCAGAGAGCATAAGAGTTACTATGAGGTCCTTAAGGAAGAGAGAGAGGAGAAGAAGTCGTACAACTATGAGGTTCTTAAGGTTACAGAGTTCTAAGAGCTCCAGAACGTAGGAGATAACCGGACGGTTCGCCACCGGAAGCAGAGCCTTTGGGACCTCCTGCCATTGCAATTCATAAAACAAAAAAAACAAAAAAAAGAGTAAGAAATCATAACAAAAATTGGAGAGAAATAAACCGAATGGGATTCCGGAGAACCAAAGAGCGTAGAAAAAGAGGGGGACCTTGGAGACTAGAGGGACAAGATTCTTCGAGGTGCCACCGGCTAAGACTACCACTTGGAAATCCATCGGAGCAGCAGCAGAGAGGGAGAGGGGGAGAGAGAGAAGGGTTCAGGTTCCCCTTTTTTAGGCGTTTTTGTCTCCACAGGAAGCAGAGCGAGCGAGGGTGGCTTGACCACTCGCAATTGTTGTGTGTAATTAACGGCGTTCGTCTACTTAGTGGATTCGGATCGGTTTGATTCGGTTTGACAAGATCGTTTGATTTATTTTAATATAAAAATAAAAACATTTAGAATGAGATGCCTCTTTTTACACTTTCTAGATTCAATATTTGTTACTTTCCAACTTCAAATTAAAATATTTTCATTTTGATTAAACCCTATATTTCATGTATATTCTTATTTAAGTGTTTTCTAAATTCATTTTTTGTTAATATTAATTTATTTCTTACTATTTTTATGGAACCTCTTCCATTTTCTTAATTTAAGGATTCAATTATATATCTAATGGTTTAAGAAATTTCAATTTATCTAAATTATTTGGGACTTTATTTCAAAAAATTATTTGTAACTTTGTTTTATACAAAAATTGTTTGTTGTTGTGGTCTATTTTATCTGACAGAGGGAGTAGGGCCGGCGGCAGAGAGAGAGAGGAGAGAGATGTGTGTTTGTAGAATTGTAGGGGAATGTGTGTGTTGTTATCCCTCCTACATTGTGCCTTTATTTATAGTAGTAAAGGGAGAGAAGATATTCCTTCTCCTCCAAGTAATACAAGTTGTAATAGGAAAGGATAACTAGAATCAAATCTTATCTAGGATTTACACAATCATACTTAAACTAGGAATGTTTACAACACTCCCCCTTGAGTGGGTAAATACTCAAGGTAGATTCAGCATCATGCAGAAGTTGAGGAAGTCGACTCGTTGGCATTGATTCCAAGGAACAACGCTTATTCTCAATAAGGTAGGAACTTGCATAAGTAGTAAGTCTCACTAAAAAACCCTAAGGCTATGGCAAAAACCCAAGTAGGGACAAAATCCATAGTCTAAGGAAAAAATGCGTGAGAAATGCAAAGTCAAAAGAAAACGTCTACAGGACGTCATCAGGGATATGACCAGCCCAAGGTGGGTGCCTCGTTAAAACCTAGTTAGGTAGCAAAAACCCAGTGGGAAAAATGCTCCTAATCGTAGGGAAAAAGAGTACATTAAGATCAAGCAAGTATCTAGAAGATACTCCCCCTGAGTTTGACATAATTCCAAAGAGAAATAGCAAAGTTACAACTCAGAAAGTTTACGCATACCAATTCCATGAACAAGCTTCTGAAACGTCGCCTTCGGTAGTGATTTGGTGAAGAGGTCGGCCAGATTGTCTTGTGATCGGATTTGCGTGACTTCAATCTTCTGATGCTCTTGTTGTTGATGTGTAAAGAAGAACTTCGGCGCAATATGCTTGGTGTTGTCTCCTTTGATGTAACCCTTCTTGAGCTGTTCGATGCAAGCTGCGTTGTCTTCAAAAATCGTCGTCGGGGCATTAACGGCGGGATGAAGATCACAGGAGCTTCGAATATGGCCCACTACTGCTCTCAACCAAAAGCATTCCCGAGTTGCTTCATGTAAGGCGAGAATTTCAGCATGGTTAGACGAAGTGGCAACTAAGGTCTGTTTAGTTGACCTCCAAGATATTGCGGTGCCTCCAACGGTAAAGACATAACCCGTTTGAGAACGCGCCTTGTGCGGATCAGATAAGTATCCAGCGTCGGCATAACCAACAAGGCGAGAATCAACCCGATGAGCATAGGGTGCGGCATCACTCGAGGATTCGTAGGGATAGAATAAGCCCAAATCCGTAGTACCCTTAAGGTAACGGAAGATGTCTTTCATGCCAGTCCAATGTCTGCGTGTTGGTGCATTGATGTATCTTGCCAAAAGATTAACAGCGAAGGAGATGTCGGGTCTAGTGCATTGAGCTAAGTACAATAAAGCGCCTATCGCACTTAGATAAGGAACTTCAGGCTCCAAAATCTCTTCATCATCCTCCTTCGGACGGAAGGGATCTCGCCTTGCATCTAGCGTACGAACGACCATAGGAGTACTCGAAGGCTTCGCTTTATCCTCATTAAAACGGCGCAACACCTTCTGGGTGTAGTTCGATTGATGTACTAGGATTCCATCCGAACAATGCTCTATCTCGAGGCCGAGACAGTATCGAGTCTTACCTAGATCTTTCATCTCAAATTCCGACTTCAGGTGCGAAGCAGTTCTCGCGAGCTCTTCAGGAGTTCCGATGAGATTCATGTCATCGACATATACTGCAACAATCGCAAATCCGGAATGTGACTTCTTAATGAACACACAAGGGCATAGTTCGTTATTCACATATCCCTGACTAGTCAAATACTCACTTAAACGGTTATATACCACATTCTTCCGGATTGTTTCAAACCGTATAGTGAACGCCTCAGCCGAATTGAGAGCGTGTTCCGGGGTTTGGAAATATTTGAACCAATCAATGTAAGTCCTTCGGGAACTTTCATATAAATTTCCGTATCAAGATCCCCATAGAGATACGCGGTTACTACGTCCATCAGCTGCATATCCAGTTTTTCGGAAACTACCAAACTGATAAGGTATCGAAAAGTAATCACATCCATAACGGGTGAGTAAGTTTCGTCATAGTCAATCCCGGGGCGTTGTGAGAAACCTTGTGCTACAAGACGAGCTTTGTAACGCACAATTTCGTTCTTCTCATTACGCTTCCGAACGAAAACCCACTTGTAGCCAACGGGCTTCACATGTGGAGGAGTAGGAACTACAGGTCCAAACACCTTACGTTTCGCAAGTGAATCAAGTTCGACTTGGATTGCTTGTTTCCAGTTTGACCAATCAGCTCTACGTCGACATTCATCAACGGAACGCGGTTCAATGTCATCGCTCAACATGATCTCAGTAGCTACTGCAAATGCTAATGCATCGTCGACAATCATCTCATTTCTACGCCACACATCATCTAAGCTAGCATAATAGACCGAAATCTCACGATTCTCGGGAGGAGGATTCGTCTCTTCAAGGACGCTTCCATAATCTAGAATTTCCTCATGAGTTGGGTAAAATGAGTAAGCGATAGTCGGATTCACGGTAGGCTCTTCAGGACCTTGTGCCGTGGTTTTCCTCTTTCGGGGGTGTGAATCCTTTGAACCAAGGGGTCTGCCACGCTTTTGTGTAGGGGCAGATGATTGGCTAGCCGCTAATGTACGTGGATCACCAGAATTGGCGTCCCGGGCTTCCAGGAGGGTAGTCCATCGTACATTTGGTACATCCATCTTTGCAGGCGTATTCGCAGCTGGAATATGTGATCTTGTCACGCGCGTTAGATCGGTGAAAGCATCTGGCATGCTATGAGCTATGCTCTGGAGATCTAATATGCGCTGCACTTCAGCTTCAGACTGAGCGGTGCGGGGATCTAAATGAGACAAAGTGGGAGTCGTCCACGATAATTCGCGTCGTTCATTAGGAACGTTGACGTTCTTATCTCCCCCTAACGACGGGAAGACTGTCTCATAGAAGTGACAATCCGCGAAACGAGCGGTAAACAGATCGCCTGTCAAAGGTTCTAAGTAACGAATAATCGAAGGAGAATCATATCCGACATAGATTCCCATCCTTCGCTGAGGCCCCATTTTTGTACGTACGGGCGGCGAGATCGGCACATAGACCGCACAACCAAAAACGCCCAGATGCGATATGTCGGGTTCGCATCCGGTGACCAACTGAAGGGCACTAAATGGTTGTGTCGCAACAGGCCTCAGGCGGACCAACTTTGCTGCGTGCAATATTGCATGGCCCCAAGCAGCGATCGGGAGCTTGGTACGTATGACCAACGATCGAGTAATCATTTGTAAACGCTTAATGAAAGCCTCTGCCAGGCCGTTCTGGGTGTGAACATGGGGTACAGGATGTTCAACTTCAACCCCAACCGACATGCAATAGTCATCAAAAGTTTTAGATGTGAATTCTCCAGCATTATCCAATCGAATAGATTTGATCGGATAATCAGGGTGGTGAGCCCTGAGCTTGATAACCTGAGCCAACAGTTTGGAGAATGCAGCGTTCCTTGTGGACAACAAGCACACGTGTGACCAACGTGTAGAAGCGTCAACCAAAACCATAAAATATCTAAATGGTCCGCAGGGAGGTTGAATCGGTCCACAAATGTCCCCCTGAATCCGTTGTAGAAAAATGGGAGGATTCGAACGAATCTTGTCATAAGAAGGCTTAGTAATAAGCTTTCCCATAGAACATGTTTGACATGCAATTTCATGGATCGAACCTAAGCTTCGGGTTAGTGGATGCCCGTGTGAAGTTTTGAGGATACGGCGCATCGCTATTCGTCCAGGATGTCCCAAACGATCATGCCAAAGTGTAATTTCGTGCGCGGTCCCTGTGGTAGGGCCGGCCACATAGTGGCATTCTATGGGGCGTATGGTCGTAGTATACACTCGGGTTACGCTCCATCTTCTCTAGAATACGCTTCTGGCCATATTCGTAGGAAGTTATGCACATAAATTCAACTCCGTTTTCTACGTGGGTTTCAGCGTGGTAATTGTTATCTCTAATGTCCTTGAAACTTAGTAACGTTCTTCCGGAACGTGGAGAATAGAGTGCCTCAGCAATGGTCAAGATTGTACCATTGGACAACATTATACGTGCCTTACCGTATCCTTCGATCAGGTTGGATGGGCCTGAGAGGGTTGTCAGAGGTGCATTTTTAGGTACGAAGTTAGTGAAATAGATGCGTTCACGCAAAACAGTATGCGTGGTTGCACTATCTGCCAGACAACTAACTTTCCCACTAGTCATACCTTAGAATGAAAAATTAATTTGAATCGGTCACATGCATAAAAGTTTATAAAAACAAGTATCAATTCAAAATAATTTCCTTTATTCAAGGAAAAAACTTAATATCCAAAATAAATCGCCAACTAATAATCCAAAACATAAAGGAAAATTGTTCAAAATCAACCAAAAAACAAGGTGGGGTTCGGCCATAAGGTGGAATTCGGCCCCAATTGTCTTATTTTAACTGAAAAATAAGTCTATGTCTAAGATTCTAATCTTCCATAGGAGTGGTATCCTCCTGAAAATCAGAAACCTCCATCTTTGTAGTCTCCGGTTCGTCCACTTGCTCTGTTGACCTTGGAAGCGCAAG